GAGGCGTTCAGCCATGGATCTTTACGACCTCCAACAACAGGGATTCAGCTGCTCCTCTGGGTAATCTGTCACAGTGCTGTGCAACCCTCCCGATGAAAACAAAAATGTCCAGTCTGAGCCTCGAAGCATCAGGTTTTTGGCCTTTGCCCATTGTTACATTAACTGACATTGAGAAAACTTCAGCACTGTTGTCTTTGTAACTCTCTTGAGACAGTCACAGGCTGCAGTTAGACCACACTCAGACTCCTCTGTGCCAGGCTGAACAAGTCCAGCTTCCTCCACACTCCTTGTAGGTCATGTTCTCCAGGCTTGTTAGCTCTCCAGTGGACCAATTCCAGTTTCTCTACATCCCTTTTGTACTGGCAGTGCCAAAACTGGACTGTATTCCAAATATGGCCTCACCAGTGCTGAGCAGAGGAGAACAAAATATTCCCTCCATCTGCTGGCCGCGTTCAGCCAGTCACTATTGCTCAGTATGCATTTTGTCGTCTTTGTGATGAGAGTGCACTGTTGGCTCGTATTCAGTTGGGTATCCACTGTAAGCCTTTTTTTGCAGGACTGCTCTCCCAGTCACCTCCTAGCCTGTACTGGTGCTTGGGGTTATTCTTCCTCAGGTGCAGAACCTTGCATTTCTCCTCAGATTCTGGTTCTTCTGGATTGAAGCTGGGCCATTTGGTATGTCAGCCATTCCCCCTATTTCACAACATCTGCAAATTTGCTGAGGATGTATTATTGATGATGGTACTGAATGATATGAGCCTCGGTATCAATCCATGGTGATCAACATGGGATGGCCTCTCAGCAAAGACATTTTTTCTGAAGTTCCATATAGCCAGATCCTGAAGGCTCATGCATTTCATTCTTAAACAGGCATCTAAGAAAGACCAAGTGAATCACTATATGGATAGTGATTTTTAGCCTTTTTTTCTTTGTTGACAGTAAAAGTAGCCTAAAGTGTTTAGTTCAGACTTAGATGTCTTAAGTTAGATCAGATGAATCCTACCTACAGCTACTAAAACTTCAAATGTGGAAGCATCATGAATAAAGAAGGACCTTTTTGAGGTATGTTTGCTCCTGTGTCCTTGATTCCCTGTCTGTACAACTGTTAGTTCATTCCTCAGTTCTCCTCTGGCGTGAATCAGATGATACCCAGTAAAGTCCTGGGACAGTTCTCTCCAGGGATCAATTACTTCTAGACGGTATGAATGAGTCCACACCAGCTTTGGCTCGCTCTGCCCTTCACAGTGCCCCGATACTATCCCATAGGCCTTGCCTAACATTCCTGAGCATCCTCAACACCATGCTAAAAAACACCCTTCTGGCAGGCCGCTCTGTTATTTCGGGCACTTTGAACTGAAAAACTGCCGCAACGAAAAGTCAACACTTTTGTCTTTGGGCCGTGAAGGTGCTGTATGGAGCTGGAGGAAGCCCAGGGCAATGCTATCCAATGCAGTTGCTGCAGGTCTGCTTCAGAACAATCTAAGCATGAGGGGCTGCCTTGCAAAGGCCGTTGTTGTTAGTGTCTGCCTTGTCGTTGCGCCCCTGTTACGAGAGATGTTGTCATGGTTCAGTCAGTCTGCCTCCCACATAGTAGCAATGGGCTGCGCTCTGTCAGGTGCGCTACTGGGATCAAGGGGTTGAAGGACACTTTGCTTCCTGACAGCAGAATTAAATTCTCTTATTCCTTATACTGGAGCAAGACCTGGATAGTTCGGAGCAAAAATCAGCCTCTCTTCTTTCTAACTGGCCTACACATTTTAACTCAAACCAGTGATATAAATATTCATATCACTTATATGTATACAGCCCTACAAAGCAATCCTCTTTTCCATCTACAATGCATACTCAGGATGAAAAAAAAATTCCAGTTCTGCTGCAATTTTTAGTTTGAAGAATGGAAACTTAAACTTGAATTCACCATTTGAAATAGTTTGTTTCTATAGGAATGTGGAAAATATGGATCATTGGGAATAGTTGTTTTAAAAAGACAAACTTTTATTGTTACCAGTAGGAAAGATGGGTAAGTTTTGTATAAACTCACATAGTTTATACAGGTTAGGAACTGTTGTGAGCAGTTAAGAGATAGAAGGGTTAAATCTGGAGCCAAATAACCTTCATCGTGTCCTTTTTAATGCAGTAAGATGCTGCACTTAGACTCTGTTCCCACGTGCTGCTCTAAAAGCATTAGGAAGGAGTAAATTGTTTTTAAAAATATTTATATTTAATGGCTATCTTGCAACTACTCAGCAAATCTCTACTGGCTCTTTTGTTCCAGGCTTTTAGAAACAAGTACATTATCTGATTTTTGCAGAATAGTGCTCCTTCCAACTAACTGCAGTAATAAAATGGTTTCACTGGCCATCTTAAAACATGAGTGATAGTTTGGATGAGCACATTCTTTCTGATATTTAGAAATTCCCCTTCCACGATTGATTGCCATCTACAAAAGATGGGGTTTGGCATTATTGTTAACTCCTGGTTATAATTTTTGAAGAAAAAAATAACCTGCATTTTTAAAGAATAATTACTTCATTTGAAATAGTCATACTGCAATGAAATCCAATTCTGGTCATCTTATTTCTGCCCATGGATTCATTGAATTTGAATGGCCTCATAAGACACTAATATTACAAAGACTTATAGGTGTCCTTAGCGTTATTCGCTATGAGCAGACTAACAATGGAAGTGCCACGAAAAGATAAGAACAGGCATACTTAAGTAAGACAAACTGGTGATGGGAGGAGAATTTAACTACCAAAAATGGTGTCCTCGTTGTTTATACGATAGGCAGAGGGGAGGAGTGTTACCTTATCCTTGGCTTTTCCTGTAAAAGACCAAACACCACAATGGCTCAAGCTTCTTCACAGTTCAAATCCATGGAAGTGGAAGCACAGCGCTCTGGACAACTGAGTTCAGATCCTTAAGAATGCTGCTTTTCTAGGCTTGTGGTCTTTTTCAGTCCAGTTCACAGGTATGGCAATTGTTTGTGTTGTACTTTCAGATCTTGAAGAGAAAAAACATGAATATGTTTTAACTCAGTTTTCACAGTATTTTTACTATTTCGCACAATAAAGTAATTATGTAATTAATAATCATCAGTTCCAGAAATGGTGGCATCCACAGGAATATTCCCCTCTTGCTTGAGCCACTAGACAGAAAAACTTCAGAAAGTTTTAGAACATTCCTGCACTGGCCCCTGTGGATTGACAAAGCAACATAATTTTTCATTTCTGATTTATGTGGGATTTTTAATTTATTTTGCCTACATCTGCCTTTATTGTTTAATTTAACAGATTTGCAGGCTATTCCTGGGAAACAGACCGGTTCCAGAATTATTAATTAAGTTGCACAGCCAAGAAACAGCAAACCAAATGATAGATTGGGAGCCTCACCGCTGTGGCTATCTGCTGCCTGAGGAGACAGTTTGTCCCAAAATAGCAAGGAGTCTATCCCTTGTCACCCCATTCATTTTTATTAAAGAATCTGCTCTGCAGCGATGTCTGCCAGGTAATTAGCCTAGTTTCAAGTGGCCCTAATAGCATGTGGCATATACTCAGCCTTCTCTGTAAACTAAGTACAACTCCATCTGTGTACAGCTTCTAGGATGCAGCTTATCACTGCAAATGACAAACAGGGACATGTTTTTTATTCATGTACACAAGAACAGCAGGAAACTGGTCGAGAAAATGCAAGCAAGGAATTGCCAGTATGCATGTAGTGAACTATCCAGCCACTGAGCTCAGTCTGTGCAGGCCTTAGAAAAATGGCTGTGAGCCTTTACCTGGAAATTTTAGAACAGATATGTAGGTAAAATCTGAAGGATATGATTATCATTTGTGATGCAACTTGAGGCTTCCCTCATGAACAAGGCAAACAAACAAGCTGGGGTGCAGCGATAGCTAGAGTAATGCTCAGCACAAGGTTGTTCCTAATTCATGGATCAGGCAACAGTCTGCCTCACCCCATCATTTAGGGGTTATGTGCTGAAGGTAGAGTTAAACAGAGGACTCGGGTGATGGGCAAGGTATTTATACCTTCCACGTTCCACAGAGCCAAAGAACAGAATGAGACTTTATGTAAGATTTTATATAAACTTCATGGAGTTTTCTTAAGGCCACCTAACCCAGAATTCAGCAGACTGAGTAAGACTTAGTTTTGCGTTGGTTTGAAGTAATCTCCTATAGCTGTGGAGGAGAGAGCTTGAAAATGTGTACTACAAAGGCACAAAAACATGGACATAGTTAACATTAAAAATATATTAATAACTCGTTGGCAGAAGTCCGCATCATAGTTTTTACCATCTAGCTCATGATTTCTGAGCATTTGGATAGCAACACTGTGTCCTTCACAGAACAGCCCCTGGATAAT